TGGGGTGTGCAGCAGGTTACAACAGTCACACTTCAAGCTATTTGGGTGTAAGGGCAAGAGCAATAAACTTGCAAGACCCCTGCAAGCATCTCCCTCCCTGTAATTACTATTCCTGCACTGGTGCCAGGGTGGGATGCTTCTGGAAAGTGACAGAAGCAGAAGTACCACACCCCTTCGTGTCTCTGCGAAAACACCGTAACTGACTCTTCCTCTAAGCTGATAAACTTGCACTTTGCATCTCGTGTTTAATTTCCTGAAGATGCAAAAGACACAAAAAAAGGGGCAAATGTTTTCATGAGCAGCTTGCACTTAGCACACTTCATCAGACATCTGCTTTTTCCCTTTTACATGCGTTCACTATCAGTCTGCACTGCGGACTTCCAAACTTTACCTGAAAAATTAAGAAAATACCCTAACCATTTCTAAATCATTGAGCGTGTCTGGTCAGGCCCATTTTTGTTCAGAGAAGAGTTATAAAGCAAAGATGGGTTTGGAGAGACCATCTGGAAAGCAGCTTTGCTGAGGAAGACCTGGAGGTCCTGCTGGACAAGCTGAGCGTGAGCAATGTGCCCTCGCAGCAAAGAAAGCCGAGAGCACACGGGGCTGCGTTAGGAAGGGTGCTGACAGCAGAGCAAAGGAGGTGACTGTTCTCCTCTCTGGTGAGGCATCACCTGGCACGTTCTGTGTCTGGTTCTGGGCTCCTCAGAACAAGAGACACAGACATACCAGAGCAAATGCAGCAAAGGGCCGTGAAGATGATGGACAGGAGCATCTGACAGCTGAGGAGGCACCGAGAGCTGTAGTTGTCTTGGCAAGAGGGGTCCAAGAAGTGTGTGTAAATACCTGATGGGGGGAGTAAGGAAGATGGAGCCAGACTTTTCTCGGTGGTATCCAGTGATGGAATGAGAGGCAGTGGCCACAAATTGAAATACAAGAAATTCCATTTAAATCCAGAAACACAAGAGAACTGTAGGAGTGACTGAACACTGGAACCAATTGCCCAGGCAGGCTGAACATCTCCATCGCTTTTACAAGTTCAAGGGTAGTTTGTTTCTTACAGAGAAGCACTGTCACATGGACGGCACAAATGATTAATTAGTTCAGTGTTGACTCGAAAACCAAAGTATTTTGGAAATTAAACTGTGATCTGTGACTTTAAATTGCTGACATCGTGCCTGATGTTCTTGAAAGTACGTTATACCTAACGCCTAGATAGATATCCATACACGAGGTCTGAGTGGAATAGATATCCATACACCTGAGCTCAGGTGGAACTGTGCTATTCGTTGTGGACTGTGCTATCCATTGTTCTGTAGGTGGTGTGTGAATGGACAGAGGTGAGCAGATGCCATCAATTTTAGCGAAAGGATGTACAGCAGAGCAGGCTGAAACTCCTGATGGTGTCAGAGATTGGTGTCGTTCTGTCCAGACTGTTCTCAGACCTTAGTTTCCCCTTCAGATAAGGTTTGAAGTGTGTCAGTTTTAACGAGCAGAAATTAAATGTCTTAGAACTCCCTTTTCCCCCAAGAGTGCCTCAAATTTTGAATTTATTTATTGTTTCAAACTCATATTTTTCTGTACTCGCTGCCAATGTGTGTTAGTGTGTTTCTTGCATTAGTTTTTGAAATATCTGCTGATGATGGTGTTGACTTTCTTGCAGAGGCCCAGCCCAATCCAGCTGTACTCGCCTCCTTTCATCCTGGCACCCATCAAAGACAAACAGACAGAGCTGGGGGAAACATTTGGAGAGGCCAGTCAGAAATACAACGTGCTGTTCGTCGGATATTGTTTGTCTCACGATCAGCGTTGGCTTCTGGCATCCTGCACTGACCTTCATGGTGAATTGCTGGAAACCTGCATAGTTAATATTGATTTACCAAACAGGTAGAAACCTTTATTTTTTACATTAGATCTCGGTCTGTAGTTGCCATCCCTCACTCTTGCACATCCCTTCTAGTCATATTTCCTGCTGATGGGATTATAATAATTTTACAGCGATAACATTTCAGTTGTCACTTTTATAGCTTATAAATTGCAAAGAGTTACTGTGTTAGACTTGTTTTACAAACGCTACCTATGGATCTTACCTTCAAGAACAACTGGTATTGGTACAGCTGGTTTGGCTCAGCATGGTGACACCTTTCACATGTCACTGCAATAATAGTTCTGAAAGCAGACACATACTTTTTCTGCTTGTTGTTAGTAAAAGGTAAGTTAGACACTCCACAGAAGTGTAAGAACACCTGGAGAGGGTAAGAGTGAAATAACTACATAGAATAGAAATCTGAATATTGTCCTTGATTCTCTTATTTTCTTTTTTCTTTTTCTTCCTTAACTTCCAGGTCAAGGAGGAGCAAGTTGTCTGCACGTAAAATAGGTCTGCAGAAGCTGTGGGAATGGTGTGTTGGTATTGTCCAGATGACATCACTGCCTTGGAGAGTTGTAATCGGGCGGCTCGGCCGCTTAGGCCACGGGGAGTTGAAAGGTATGAGATGTCAGTGCGGTCACTGCCTGTGGTTTTGGAGTGAAGACACGGCCTTAGTGTGACAGAATTGACCATGAGCCTTTAAAACCAGAACACTGAGAGTGATAATCCTGCCCTGGCACTGCATTTTTGTGTTGGTTTGCATAAACAATTAGCTTGTTTGTACACTGGGTTTGACATTCCTCCCTCATGTCTGTAGTATAAATGAACTAGTTTCTGCACAGTGCATTTCCAAGTGGAAGTCATGGATATCACCACGTTAGAAAAAGAGCTGAACAGCAGTTATCCTGACACAGAAATAGAAACAAGTTTCATCCTGATTCCTAAACCTGAACGTAAACTAAACAAACAAAAAATTATTGCAAAAAAAATGTAATGAACAAAAAAAAATATATTTTTTTTTTCCCCTGTGGTATACAAAACTGATAATCAGTGTTAACCAGCAATAAGGTACTCCCTGCAGCAACGTGCAGCTCCCTGCAGTGAGCGAGGAGTTCCCAAGATTTAACATTCCTCACAGCTCTGCGGGAACTGAGAGGGAGCTCCGGAGTGGTTTGGGTGTAGGTGCCTTAACCCAACAGGGGTAGGGACCACATTGCTTCGCTGCAGCGCTGGTTCCTCTCGCTGATATCAGTACATGTGTTCAGCATCTTCCTGTGGCCACTGTTCAGGTTTGGTTTGGTGACTGAGCAGAAGAAAGTGGGATTCTGAGAGGGTGCTCTCAGTCTTCCCCCATCTCCCGAGTTGGAACACGAAGATAAATTAGACAGGAGGATAAAGATGTTTCATGAGTGTTTGTCCTTTTGCATGAATAACTGAAGGAGACATGAATTTCTCTGGTTAGTGTATTGTAAGAGATTCTGTATTTCACGAGGTGGGAAAAAACCTGAAAACCAGTGCACAATAAATAACAATTCAGTCTGAAAGCACAAAGCAATGCTCTAGGTGGGGAAAAAAGCAGTAATGAAATGCCTTCTCCATATAGGACACGCAGGGAAGAACTGCTGTTGTCTGCCCTGGTAGGGGAATTTGTTATCCAGCACAGACACAGGAGTTAACTGGAACGAGGGCAGGAAAACAGATTAAGAATGTCATCAGCAATTCTCTTCCTCTGTTTGGACAAATAATGTCTTTAAATTGCTAAATGTAGTTTAGTGAATGTATATCTGCACCTTCGCTGAAATTTGCTTTATTTCGTGTATTTTATTAGTAACAAAGTTTAACAAAAGTTCTCTGGTGTTGAGTGTGTGAATTCATATCTCCCTGGTTACGTTTCCAGTGTTCCATTATGGCACATTTACACCCTGTTTACATGGGGAGGCACTCTAGAATAGTCCAGAGTTAGAGATGCAAAGTGTTATTGCTGCTGTGCTATTTCCAAGCGAGTGCTGGCTGTTTCAGAACCTGCTCTATCGTCATGTTTATTCCTTTCAGACTGGAGTATCCTCCTTGGGGAATGTTCCCTGCAGACAATCAGCAAACAATTGAAGGAGGTGTGCCGCATGTGCGGCATCTCAGCGGCGGACTCTCCTTCTATCCTCAGTGCCTGCTTAGTTGCCATGGAGCCCCAGGGGTCATTTGTTGTGATGCCAGGTAAATTTTATCCAACTATTGAAATACTAGTGAAACTTTCCTTTTTTCATCATATTTATCACATAAGCATGTTAATTTTGGGAGAATTCTGAGTCCAAGAAGAAGACCTTGACTAGCACGGCTAGTTGAAAATAGGTTGAGTCAGGAGAATTCCCAAAAGTACCAGTAAGAGATGCTGTGTCAGGAGTGTAGGCTCCTGGGGGCAGGATTGCTCTATGCCACTGTCAGACTGAGGACCTTTTCCTCAGGGAGGTCATGTTCACAGACCAGTTTTCATCCCCTGAAATGTGATGTTGTAGACACCCTCATGTGAGGAGCGTCAACATGAGGATGAGACAGTGTAAGAGTCAGCAGTGTGAAAGAGGAGGAGTCTGGAAATGGCAGTAAGGATAACCCTCCACTTGCCTTTTCATATGCTTGAAGTTATTTAGAGAGTTCTATTATAAGCAGCAGTCCACAGAGTTAAGTTGAAATAAAATTAAATTTTGAGGTTCCCTTGACTTATTTCTTGTATTAAACATTTACTTTTTTAATGTACATGGTGACCTAGCCTTACAAACTACTGGTTTTTTTAGTTTAGAAATAAAAGATTACTACATGGAACAGAATGAAACGAGCTTGATAATTGCTCAAGATGAATAATTTTCACAGCAGAGAAAATAGACAGCAAATTATGCTTTTTTCATGTCAACCAAAGTGGGGAATGTTGCAAATTTATACAGATATGTGTGTGTCAAAAAGAAATTTAACTTGCTCATTTAACAAGTCCATCTCTGATTAAGGGGCAGCAGAGTGAAAGGAAAGGTGGGGCATTGTATGGGAATTCACACAGCTAAACATCATCTGCAACTTGTGATCTTAGTTTCAAGCTCTTCTAGTACATTATTCTTTTTGGGATAAGAACCTTTAAACACTTGTATTAGCTTGCAAACGCAGATTTGAAATTAATTGAACACAGAACATATATTTTGAAGATGATACAAATTAATGTCTCTGCTGTTGCTTCTGTTCTGGAAGATGCTGTCACCATGGGATCCGTGTTTGGCCGGAGTACTGCGCTGAATCTGCAGTCATCCCAGCTGAACACCCCTCAGGATGCCTCCTGTACACACATCCTGGTTTTCCCAACCTCTGCTACTATCCAGGTGGCACCAGCAAATTACCCCAATGAGGATGGATTCAGCCCTACTAACGGTGAGTAAACGTGTGTCTGGTGTGAGCAGTGAAAGACTGGGGAATGCTTCAGAACATCAGCAGAGCTCTCCCAGTCATGAAGAAAACCAGAGTGGATCCGTGTTCTCCCAGCGACGCCGTACCACTCTAATTGAATTTAAAGAGAACAACACTGCTACAGGGTCATGTTGCTGAAGTCCGTTTCCAGAGAATCATACTGATTTCTTCCAGAAGTGATACTGACCCATCAATATGCAAAATGGCACAGACTATAAAATCATAGAATCATAGAATGGTTTGGGTTGGAAGGGACCTTAAAGCTCATCCAGTTCCAACCCCCCTGCCAGCAGCAGGGACACCTTCCACTAGACCAGGTTGCTCAAAGCCTCATCCAGCCTGGCCTTGAACACTTCCAGGGAGGAGCAACCACAGCTTCTCTGGGCAACCTGTTCCAGTGTCTGACCACCCTCACAGTGAAGAACTTCTTCCTAATATCTCATCTAAACCTCCCCTCTTCCAGTTTAAACCCATTTCCCCTTGTTTTGTCATTAACTGCCCTTAGGAAAAGTCCTTCCCCAGCTTTCTTGTAGCCCCTTCAGGTACTGGGAGGCCACTAGAAGGTCTCCCCGGCGCCTTCTCTTCTCCAGGCTGAACAGCCCCAACTCTCTCAGCCTGTCCTCATAGCAGAGCTGCTCCAGCCCTTGGATCATCCTGGTGGCCCTTCTCTGGACTTGTTCTAACTGGTCCATGTCTTTCTTGTGTTGGGGGCTCCAGAACTGGACACAGTATTCCAGGTGGGGCCTTACAAGAGTGGAGTAGAGAGGATTTTTCTTCTTGTTGTGATTTTTCTTCTTGTTGTGATTTGATCAGGCCAACTTGTTTTTTATAATAGTGGTTCGCTCCATGCCCTGATGGGTACCAACCTTGTGAAGAAGGAGTTACTTGTTTTAAAATGTTAATCTTCCTGTAAAGTGGGCAAAATAGACCAACCTGAGAATTCTTTATGTTAGCAGCATGCTTTTTCAAACATATTTAACCCTGTAGTTTGCGTCAGCAAGACTCTGGTTAATACTTTATATCAAATAAGTATTTTCCTACCTGTTTTACCATAAATCCCTAAAAATGATTGTAAAATAATTTAAATGAAGAGTAACTACAAACATTTGCAATAGAAGTATTTTAGGAAGAGGAAATTTACAGTATAGAGAGGAAGAAAGGCCCACTATATTTAATGAAGGAGTCTGCTTTGATCTGTTCCTCCTGGAATTTCAGTGGGCCTCACAGAAGGGAAGTTACCCCACTTAATACTTAAGCAGCTGTCCTTTCAAGGCCCCAGAATCCTGGCTGAATGCTGTGCTGACAAATATTTAACCTGCATTAACCTGCCCTTTAGTGCTCCAGATGCTAATTAGAATCAGGTACAAGAACCGGCGTTTTCCAAAATGGTGTTAAATTTAATTTTCTTAACTCTGTTCTACTTAATGATTAAACCGCTTCCAATGCTATTAGCCATCTCATTTATGCTTTGGAGGCTAAGCAGAGCATGACATGACTTCTGTTTTCTTTACTGAGGTTGTAGGACAGAAGTTAATAAACTAAGTTAATTCATTGCGCTTGCAATCCGGTATTTCTCTTCAGAAGATGAAGGAAAAACAACCACCTGCCTATTTCAGCACTAGGACTTCAGGTGAAATTAGTTCAAGACACACACATTGCTTTCTGTTTTCATGTGGAGCAAATTTTCATGTGGAGCAAATTCTTCTTCTTCAAGATAAATTATTTATTATAATATGTAGAAATGCATGACTCCTATTTAGGGCTCTGTGTGTTTTAGTACAAATTTGGCTGCAATTCGAATTAATCAGTTAATTCAGACAGCTCCCACTGTCCCTTTCTGTCCCCTAAAATGTACTTTAAATGTCATTATACTGCTTAAACATCTGTGCCTGCTGAGAAATCTGGATAAGGAAAAACACCCTATAAACCACATAAACCACATTGTGATGCTTGTAATTTTTTGCTCTGTGTTTATAATGTCTTAGCTTTCCATCCTGTAAATTACTCGCGGTATCAAAAGGGGTTCAAATGACTGAGTAATGGAATGTACTCGGAGAAGGCACACGCGCTTTCACTGTGTCTTCATGCCCTTCCCACATATTAACATAAAGCAAATTAAAAGAGCACGTTATGGTAATACAACTGCAGTTAATTTCTGAGATAAAAGTGAACTATTCCAAGCTGCGTTGTAGGAAGCATTTGAAATCATCAGGACAGTGTGAGTGTGAGTGTGGCGCAGGCCTGGCTCTGTGAGCAGTGTCTTGAAGCTGCTCCCAGAACATTTTGAGCCGGAAGCGCTGGTGTGCAGCGCTGAAGAGCAGCACCTGCTGAGAGCAACGTATGTAGGTTTGTTTAATGTATTTTCAGGTATTTTATTAGTGGATTTCTGTGACCAAATGCAGAGAGGGTATCATTTTTTTTCTGTTAAATTTGGATTTTTATTAAGCTGGTATGACAGGATTTTTGTTTGTTCCATGACCATTGTTAAAATTTATGGTTTTAAGAGAAGTCTGCCAACTCTTCCTTTCAAGTCTGTGCGGTTGCAGTCAAAGGTAGTAAGAAGGATTAAACAGTAAGGTGTTTATCTCTGCTTTCATCTGTCTTACGAGTATGTAAAAAAAAGCAAAGGGAATGAGGATAACTTAAAGGGAATGGTAACAAATTACAGAAATTTATTGGCAAGAATGAGTACAGCACATTGGAAATTATTTTTCTTTGTTTTCCTTTTCAGATGACATGTTTGACCTCCCATTCCCAGATGACATGGACAATGACATCAGAATTTTAATAACAGGGAATCTCCACTCTTCACCAAACTCCTCCCCAGTTCCTTCCCCTGGATCACCATCTGGTATTGGAGTGGGATCTCACTTCCAGCATAGTAGGGTAAGGCTGGAGAACTTTAGGGCATGTGCTGCTTAAAATAGAATGTTAAAAAGACACAAATCCTCCAACAAAGTATTTTTTTCCTGTAGATTCTCAAACATAATTAGGTGAACAGGAAGCAGAAATTAATGTTAAAATTGAAGGTGCTGGTTCAGTACCATTGTAGGTGTGTCTGCCTTGACTATTGACATCTCTCAAGTTAATTTAGTGGACAAGATACTGAGAGGGAGTGAGACGGAGGAGAGAAGCTTCATTTTTGTGTGGCAGAGCTGGATCTAATGACCCTGTGTAACTTTATTCTGTACTCATCCATTTTTTTTCTGGAAAATCATATGGAATGTCCCTGGCACAAAGTGACAAGCCTTTGAGAGAAAGGAAGATATGACAGCTCTGTTCACGTGAATTTCTAGAGGCGGCAAGAAGGGCAATAATTCTCCTAATAATAAAACCCTACCCAGAGAAACTCTGCAGGTGCTGGATGTTTATGCAAATATTGTTTTCTTAGTAAAAATTAGCCCAGAGCACATAGTGTTTATAAATTACTTATGTTTGAAGTGGCTTTTATAAAGTTGGTTCCAACACCAGTGATTACTTAAAACACAAATTATTTTTGGTAATTCCAAGTATTTTTTTGAATCAGCTTTAACATAATTTAGATCACATTTGATTGAACTCTTTTACTCATAAATTTAATTGTGCAAGAGATTTAGCTGTACTCTTAAAATGGTTTCTATCACAAGGATGTTGAAGTTTGACACTTCATAATTTCCTGTGGAGAAGTTTTATTCTAGAAATAGTACATTTATAGCCATAGCTTATTACCTCTTTCCTAAGTAATATAGTGTTTATTAAGGAAACAGGCTAACTTATACAAGAGACATAACCCCATGCATGTAAAACTGCTGGTGTAGTGATCTGTAATCGTTTAAGTAACTGGATCTGGATCTGTGACTGTCACTGGTGGCTTTAAACAGTCTCAAGAGAAACTATAAATCTGGCATGGAAGTAAGTTCAGAATAGATGCTTAGAGGAGGTGTAAGTACAGCTAAGATAATTACCTGTGAATGATGCTCCTCATTCAGTCCCTGTAACAAAGCAGTGCATTTTTCTAAATCTAAATAAGATGTCTTAAGAAAAGAATTCTGACTCCCTGTAAGTAACTAAATGGTGTTAGTTTCACCTCCTGCCTATATTTCCCTTGCACCCTCTGCCACAACGCTCCAGTGGTCAGCTCAATACAGGCTGTGGGTGAAAAACTACTTCTGCATCAGCCACAAAAATGCTGATAGGGTATTTTGTGATCTCAGTACACAACCACTGTACCTTATGTTAATACTCCAACCCACTTTTCAAAGGCTAAATAATTGCACATCACTATCACTTGGTTATTTCAAACTGGTATGTGAAAGATCGAAAGTTTTACATTCTGTTACTAAACCCTCCAGCCATAAATCATAACTCATCACTCATCACAGTTTCTCTCTCTTACTTAGTTCATTCAACAATCTCTATTCTGTACCACTTTTAGAAATGCATTTACAAAACCTCTTCTCAATGGAACTCCATCCAAGTGGCTTAAGAACAGCACAGAAAGGTTAATGACCAAAGAGCTTGGAGACCTGGACAAGCCATTTCTAGATGAACCTGTCATAGTAATTCAGGTTAATCATTAACAAGGGCCTAGTAATTGATGTGTAATTTTTGGTTTTAAAAAAGCAACAGCGTGTGATCATTACCTTGTGGGTCGGGGAAGGTCAAGCCTTCGTCCATGTAACCCATAATTGATTGCTGCAGTTGAGCAGTGTGAGCCCTGATTGCTCAGCAGCCAGTTTCAAGGTTTGCTGTGGCTTTGAGCACCCACAGCCAGGTGAGCTGCAGCCTTCTCCGAGCTTTATGGACTGTTTAACTTTCTTTGATTCCTGACCAAGATATTACTGTTGGAGAAAGACCTGCTTGAAGGACTAGCAGTGAAGGCTTTGTGATTAAGCAGCTTTCTGTGCAGTGGAATTTTTTTTTTTTTTTTTTTTTAACCTATTGACTTATAAGATGTTTATGGATTAAATGAACTGCTATCCCAGTTCTTCTGGGATAAGTTTCAAGCTAAAATCCTTCACAGGCATCTTTCAAGTTTTTCCCCTATGAAATAAAAGTAAAAGAAAAATAACAAAGGGTGTTTCCAAAAAAACCCAAATGCATTTAAAATAGGAAGGTACTCCAGAGTGGAACAGCAGTCACCCTTTCTGATACCTAAGGAGACCCTTGTAGGTTTGGCAATGTGGTTCATGATATATAAGCATATGTATACGCACACACACGGGGTGAGTGAGGTAAGCAAGCTTACACCAAGCATTTCAACAGCCTCGGGTATGGAAGGTTCATCTAGGTTTTACTCTGTAGAAATAAAATCACAAACGTATATGCTGACAGGCAGTGACTGATGAAATGAGTTTTACAGCTGTTTTCTCATTGTTTAACTCTCTCTTCTCCAAATCACTGTTTGGTCCATAGATATGAATGAGTAACTAATACTGCAAAAATACAGTATAGAAATAAATCAATTATATAAATTGAAAAGCAGGACAGCTCTTTCTTCTTCCCCACGTTTCACCTCTGCTTGGTAGTACAAACTGAAACAAAGCACAGTATCTTCTAACTGTCCGTAGCAGGAATAGCAAGTGTAGGATTTTTTTTCTGTGCTATCAATGTAACTCACTGAGAAAGCAAACACAACCAGGATTAGAAAGGTGCAGATATGCTCTGTTCTCCTATATCTGAGTGTGTAACGCATCCTTCCCCTAACTGAAGTCAGGATGATCACCTGCAGTGCAGACTGCTGGTTTGGATATGTATAGGGAAAGCCTACCAGGATTTATAAACGTAAATTCAACGCTGGTCTGCTCTGTGCACACACACAAGAAGGTGCTCAGATTCACAGCCGGAGCCCAGTACCTCTAAGTTTCTCTGTAGCATCAAGTTCTACCTGTACTCAGTTCAGTTTAGGAGGTCAGCATTGCTGTTTGGGAATCTGAAGTGATTCTGGAACATTAAGTCTGGAGAACCCAACTCCAGGGGGAAAAGGAAGGGATTAGACAACCTGGACTAAGATTCGTGAATGACCGAAGGATATCTCGTTAATAACAAAGACAGAACTGGATTAAAGGCTGAGTAATTAGTAAGCAAAATTAATGTTATTGGAGTGGGATGTAATGATGTAAAACAACAAATGTGCCTTTTCAACTTTTCTTTCAGAGCCAAGGGGAACGTCTCCTTTCCAGAGAAGCCCCTGAAGAACTGAAGCAGCAGCCTCTTGCTCTTGGATACTTCGTATCAACTGCCAAAGCTGAGAATCTTCCGCAGTGGTTCTGGTCATCCTGTCCTCAGGCACAAAACCAGTGTCCCCTCTTCCTGAAGGTCTGTCTTGCTACCCTTTCACAGGGGAAGGGGAAGAAGAATTGTATTTATAACCTAGTGATTTCTTTGAAAATGTTGGCCTTGCATGTTACCACCGATGTGACAGTACTGGAAAGGGAAATACGATTTTAGGTTAAAATTTACTTAAGATAACTGGCTGTTAAAACTCAGTTCTCTGTTCCTAAAGCCCTTACCTGAAAATGGAATAGTTTGGCAGCTTCTAAGTACAGAGTCACCAAAGCTGTATCTGATATTACAAGAAGTGTCCCAGTTTTCATTTTCAGTCAGCCTGAGACAGGAGGGACGTACCTTCTGTTCTGCCCTAATCCAGTTATGAGATGTAGATTAAAATTTAGAAGGGAGAGTAGCACCTCCAGCGAGAACATTTACTCTCCATTTCTATTTCCCTAGTTGTAAAAGTTGCACAGTGGAGTCTGTAGTGTCAGAGTGAATCTCTGGTACCTTCCAGTCTAGAACCACTGGTGTTTGTGAGACGTATACAGCAGAATTGGTTCAACTGCTCGAGATTTACTGACCCCTGTAGAGAGTCATGCAGCTTCTTATTTGAATGAATCAAACAAATGTGAACTAATGAGCATGGAAAGAAGGTGAAAAATCTGCCTTTAATAGCATCACATAACTATCTGAGCAAACAACGTACAGAATAATAAGGATAGTCCCACTTACTTGATCCATTCCCAGCTTAATTACCAAATACTCAACATTTTTGCAAGTCTTTTAACTAAGTTACCTCATCGATGTCTATCAGAGTAGAAGTGTTCAGTATCTCTCAATCCTCTCCTCATGCAAAAAGAGCAATTTTAGGGCCGATGTTATGATGACTTGCAGTCAGCATGGCAGGCTTTACATTCAGTGCAGCACTGAACCTTACTCCCTACACTCTGCACTCTTCATGCATAGATAGATGTCCCTGAAGTAAGTGCTTTTCTTTAAACCTACAGCATGGAGATGTCAAAAATATGAAAAACAAAGCACCGTGTTTTTGGAGCTAGAGATGAAGTTGTACACAAAATTTAAAACTACCTTTTTTTTTTTTTGTGAATGAGTAATCCAAAGACTGTGTTTCAGTTCCAGCAGTAAAAACACAGTCAGCAGAGCTCCAGGCAACTTCACAAATTCCTTCCGTAAGCTTGTACTAGATTTGTACTAGAGAGAAGGAGCCACCACCC